CCCCAAAACCCCAAAACCCCAAAACCCCAAAACCCCAAAACCCCTTTTTTAACTGAATCTGTTGAATTTCAAACAAAGCTTGGTGCTACTTTTAGCTATATGCTGTCTTACTTGCTCAAAATTAGTCGAGGTCTTATATCTCAGGAAGATTTTCTTCAGCTGGGTCTAATTCCTGTACTACTAGGTATCTTTTCCCATCTATCTCAATAATGTGTTGTTGCCTGTCTTCTAGAGCTTGGCCTCCGTCATTGGCTTCGAATGTTGGAATGCAATTTGGATTTTTGTTATCATCTGAATTTCCTGATGATTTTGGAGAATTAGAAGAAGGTATTAGATTAGATGTATTTTGAAGGAACTCGCTTCGATCTGGCTTTATCAATGAGAACTCTAAAAGATGTTAGCGAAAAGAAATTATTAACAAATTAGAATTGCATTTGCTTAACAATTAGAGGACAATTTCAAAGCCCAACCCTCTTTAATCTTCAGGTTCATAAATATTGGCTTGAAATGAATCGAAGTAATGATGGTGCTTATAAAATCGAATGAAATGATCCTGGCAGAATTTTTGAAGTTTAAATCAAACTCTCTTCATGCAATTTGGTGTAATCAATAACCTTACCACTTTGCTTCTCTCTATTTTTCCATGGCTGTGTTGCCTTTGCCTTGAGAGTTACTACAGTCCTGCCGATCTGGAAAGTCTGACTATTATCCAGCTCTAGTTCAACATCATCACTAAGTAATGCGAGAGTACCAAATTTGCTTTTGAGATCAACGAACATGAACTTTCCATCTCTGTATTCAATATTCGCATGCTTCCTTGACACTGAGATGTCATTAATTCTGAGGTCAGAGTCATGACCTCTGCCAAGGGAGAAAGCGGTCTTTTCAGTATTGATTGTCACTATATGAATAGTTCTTGAAGAGTTTTTCTCAGAATTCAAACTCTCAAGTATGATGTAAGGAGTATCCTTGTCAGATGGTCTCTTAAGATCAACCAAGTTCCATCTTTTTCCATTGAGCATGAAAGTATATGGATAGGGTAGTTTACACAATTCTCACTCAAAATTTTTCCAATTCATGGTGCTATGACAGTCAGTATCATTTTTCTTGTTCACTTTTGACTCAAGCCAGAGTTTGAGACATTTGAAATGAATATATTTAATAGATCCCGCTCATCTTCATGATCCAATAATTGGGTTTTCTTCAGTTTGCTCACCTACCCAGCAAAATCTGCACATTATATCATCACTTTCGGCTACTTGAACCTCATGAAGCTCTTCAAATCCTTGATGGGGGCTTTTCTCGACATGCTCTCCTTCAAAATACTCATGTTCTGATCTAAACTCTTTGACTTTAAACTTCATCCGGCCAAGCTTGAGAATGTCATGGCTCTGAATGGTGTATCCGTTCCTGAGTGACCTGATCACTAGCCACAGGCGGTCGTTAGCAGGATTGTCATTTATAGGATTTACATAGAACTTATTATCTTTACTCACAAGTTTGAATAGAAAGGTCTCTTCTTGGGAATCGTAAGGGTGGTGGTTCTCCCAAAACCTAACATCTTCCTTATCACGGACCATACAGCCTTCGTTTTCAACTTTACGCTCGAATTTTTGAACTCGTCTGCTTTCATAATCATAGAGGCCATGGGATTCTCTATCCCAGGTTTGAGCTTTCATCAGGATAATCTGAGAAGTTTTACCATCTTCTTTTCGTGCTTCTGGCTCCGGGATCTTGTCCTCTTCGGAGTTAATAATGTCAATGGGGAGGTTTCCCTCTTCAAATTGTTCATCTTCGTCCATATTTAGCCTATAATAGGTGTAAACTTTATTATTTATTATTCAAGTTGAAACATAAAGATTGGGGTTTTGGGGTTTTGGGGTTTTGGGGTTTTGGGG